CCCACTTACACAGCTACAGTTTTTTTGTGTGTGTGTCAGCACTCTCCACTGTTAACCATTACAAACTCTTATGAAGACATTTAAAGCATTATTCGTGCATAAAGACCAAAAAGGCCGTGTGCACAACAAAAGCTTACCAGTATAGGCGGCTGCATATATGAAAAAAAAAACACCTAACCCTAAAAAAAATTCTAACAAAAGGTTTCTCAGCTGTTTTTTGTAGTATTAGGGGTCCTTAATAACATACTAAAAGTTTACCAAAGTTTGATCACTAGAAAGGTGTAATTTTCAAGATGGCGTCCAAGATGGGCAGGAAGCCCTTAAAATATCCTAACTCCTTCATTATTTGACCTAGCCAAGTAATCTTGGTGTCTAACCCCATGTTTTCTGGGTCTATGAATCAATTGGACTTGTCTAAATTGCACTGACAAGATTACATATTTATGGTATACATGATTTTGTGAAATTACTGTAAGGTTTTATCTTTGTTTGGGGTGAACCAGAGATGTCAACGATTTAGCCTATGTCATGTAAGTCCTACTCAGTACGTCTTTTTGGACACATACCCTTTTTATTCTAAAACACAGACTTGACATTCAATGTAAAAGTTATTGCACCCAAAAGTAACTTAAATTGGAGTTGTATAACTTTTGATCATAAACAACTCTGAATTAGCCCAAACAGAGGCCTATTCAATTTGAATAAGGTAATACATATGTAATGCATCCTCTATAGATGTTTTTGAGTATAAAGGTGGCATTATACTAAACCCAACAAAACTAAATTCACAATTTTGGCAATTCAGGTGGTGGAAGAGAATACTGACATTTGATATTGCTTGCCTCATTGAAATGTTGTTGGCAGCACAGTGTACACCATTTTGCTCAAACAAAACCCTTGCAGATGACTCCACCATCAAAGTTGCCCAAGACCGAACCATTGATCCTGCTTTGCTGTTCCAACGGTTCCTGATCATGTCGAAAACTGGACAGTTTTCACTGGAAGATGTAATGAGCTATGAGCTCTGCTCATTTCCTGCAGGCCTGTTAGAAGGCAAGGAAATCTTCCGTAAAGCCAACAAGCCCCAACTAGCGCAGGCAGTCACTGAGTTCTCAAGCAAGAAATCTAACAAAACTGTCCTGGATTCCATCCCACCAACTGAGCATTATGTCCTTGACGGTGGCTCCCTGGTTCACCGCTTGGCATGGAAAAAGGGTGACAGTTACGGTGCCATTGCACAGTCATATGCAGACTTTACCATACGCCATTATGGTAAAGCAGCAGTCGTTTTTGATGGTTATAGCGAAGGTCCTCCCATCAAAGACAATACGCATCGGAGACGTGGTAAAAACACTCACCCCATCGTTAACTTCAATGCAGGGACTGAGTTTGTGGGAAGAAAGGATGATTTCCTTTCCAGATCTTGCAACAAACAAGGACTTATCAATCTTATGACTGAGGAGCTGGAGAAGAAGGGCTGCACTGTTATCAATGCATCAGGTGATGCAGACGTGGACATTGTCAAAGCTGCAGTCAAGGCCTCAGAACATCAGCCCACAACCTTGATAGGGGAAGATACAGACTTACTCATTCTTCTCCTTTACTATGCTGGGACGAATAATAGAGGCCTCTCAGGACACTTTTCGAGTAGGTCTAGACCGAACTCTTTATAACATTATTTACAGAGACCCAACAGTAAAACCATGAGCAAGCACTTGGCGACGAGGGCAAGGAAAAACTGCCTGTTAAAAGGCAGAAACCTAGGACAGATCCTTCGGCTCTAGGTGGGTGGTCGTCTGTCTCGACCAGTTGGGGTGAGAGAGAGAGAGAGAGAGAGAGAGAGAGAGAGAGAGAGACAGACAGACAGACAGACAGGTGCACAGCAACAACAGTATTGGCAATGGCAGTCAAGCAGGACCATGGCAGGAGGCTCCACGAGGATCGATAAGAACCTGCGAGACAAGAAAGCACAAGAACTCCGGGGAAGAAGTGAAGTTAGTAACATGCATTAATGGGACATGAATGAGTGCAGAAAGAAAGAGGAAGAGAGGAGCTTAGTGTACCATGGGAACTTCAGACAAGTCCAAAGCTACTAAAGTGTACAACATCAGTGAGATGAAACCAGTCCTGGCTAGTGACTTGTGTTCCCAGTTGCTGTTTATTTATGCCTTCACAGGATGTGATACAACTTCATGCATTTTTTAAAAGAATTTTAAAGTATTTTTTGGGGCTTTTTATTGCCTTTATGATAGCGGCAGCTGAAGATAGACAGGGGATGACACGCAGCAAGGGGCTGCAGGTTGGATTTGAACCCTAGGCCGCTCTACCCACTGAGCTAACCGGGCACCCAACTTCATGCATTTTTAGTGTTGGCAAACAAACAGCATTCCAGGTGAAGGTGACATGAACACAGTGGATTGGGGATGGAAACTGGTGGACAACCGGTTCCTACCAGTTATGACCAGTAAGACTGCCAGAGAGCCTCCTGCAGATGATCCTCTGTAATTGCACAACTGCCTGCCGAACAAAACGGTGCAGTTGCAGGGCACATGGACTACCATGCATGCTTGCTTGTGGACCATGTCAAGTTGGGAATTGTGAGAATCACTATAATCAACCTCTATGGGAGGAAGAGTGTGAAGACTAATGGTAAATCTAGTGAAGGTCACAGTGCAAAAAAGTATAAAAAATAAACCAGAATAAGAGGAAACAACTGAAGAAAATAGAAAAAGATATGTACAAATAAGAAAAGTATTAAAAAAAATATAAAAAAATATATACAAAAAATAAAACACAACAAAATAAAAGGGGTTAGCAGTACTGAGCCTTCACGTGGCAAGCAGCCCTGTTTTGACTAATTTTACAGTACCACACAGTTCTAGTGAATTTATTCTTTATTGAAATCAAAAGAATGGTTATGAACCACAGAAACCACCAACACTAGGCAAAACGATATGAGAAAGGAGAAATATGCAATTACTTAAGGGAAATCGTACTTATTTTTTGCATAAATATGCTTGTAACCAATTGCTTTAATATATAATTGTACTTGTAATCACTTATCTATCATGCAATTATGCTAATTAGAATATAACATGACCAACACATGTATCAGGCACCAGTATTCCTGGTATAGGAGGAATACAAAGGAGTAATGGTCATTTTAAGGACCTGACGGCCGCCATTTTGAAAATGGGGCCTTTCTTGGAGTCAAACTTTGGTAAACTTTTAGTATGTTTTTAAGTACATCTGATACTACTGTAAACCACTGAGAAACCTTTTGTTAGAATTTTTTTGGGTAAAGCCATATTTGCAGCTGACTAGTATCAAAAGAAGGTTTTTATTTGAACACATGTATAATGTTAATTTTTCCATTATAACAAACATTGGTCCCAACCTGCCCTCCATTCAGGGGCCAGTTGCATAAATTAGACCTTTGACTTAAATACAACTTCATGTCAGACATGTTTACACTGTGACAACCCTTTGAACTTTGCACTAGAAAGTGCTACATTGTTTTTTTTTTTTTTTTTATTACCTTTTTGCTTATTGTGATGTAATTTCTTTGAGTATCTTGAGATGTATTTATATCCCTAAAATCTGTACAACCTCAGCTAAAAGGTTATGTAAATCAGTAAACCATAATAATTGAGAAAAAGTATTGAAATAATTTATCTTATTTGAACAATACACATTTTTTTTGTTTTTGAGATATGCTCATTTTTTTATATTTTTTCTTTCATTTTTATAACTGATCCTCTCCTCTGTTGTTCTCCTGTTGTTGTTAAAGACTGAAGCCTTAGCATCCTTATATATATTAGATTGATTTAAACAGGATGATGCAAAAAATGTCCGCCTGTGGGAGGTCTGCTTTTGGAAGGTCGAACATCTCCAGAGTCATGAAACAGGCAGGAAACATCACTGCAGACACATCACACCCTAGACACAACCTGTTCCCTCTGTTAGGCACCACAGAACACTTACAAGAAATCAACCAAACACAAGAACGGTCTCTCCACAGGCCATCACTCTGATGCAGGGGCAGATCTAGTGAAATATTCAAACAATCACATGTATCAATATTAAGTCAAATAAAGATATTTGAACTAAAAAGCATTACATTATTGTGGCAACATTGAATAGAAATATCTAAAGGTGGCATTACACCAGAAATCAATAAATTGTTTTATTCCCAAATCTTCAGATATTTTTCCAAATACATATCTTTTTTCATTGAACTTAAGCCACACTTAGTCTAAAATGTGGCCATAACAAATACATTTCCATTTTTTAACACCAAACTGGAGTGGCAGCTGGGGTGGCCAGTAGCTGGCACTACATGCCACCCCTCTAGATCCGCCCCTGCTCATCCATCTATAAATCCTGCGCTGTAATGTAGACATGTACATTATACATACACATACCACACATAACACACTACAGACTACACAGTCTAGTTCTTTACCTATGCAATGTTTATTCCATTGCATTATTTGTTATTATTGTTTATAATCTTCAGAACACTTGTCCTAGTAATTGTATGTTGTTCTATGCATATCTTTACCTATTTTTGCTTAGCTTTGTTGCCCTTGGTTTTTATGTCTATTTGTAATGTAGGTAGGTAGGTAGGTAGTAGGTAGGTAGGTACACTGAGAGCAACCTTAAAAGCCAGAGTCAGTTCCTTGTATTACATGCTACTTATACAATAAAGCTGATTCTAATTCTGACTGAGCCCATAGGCCTGTGTGTCTCATGCTTTCTGTGGTCCAGACAGCCCACCATGTAACAAGAGAGTGTGTGTCATTAGGAATCCTGACTGACAAATAAAGCCACATTTAACTTGCTTGGACTAGCAGATTCACAGACTTTTATTACTCTTCTTTGAGCCCCATACATCTGTTCATGGTGGCGGGGTGGTTAAGGGGGAATTCCACAAAAAAGGCCCCGGACATGTCTGGGTGCGGCCCTGGCTCATTAATGTGTCAGAGAAGAGCCGCAAAAGTAGGCGGAGAGTCGCTGCGAACTGGACCGCTGCTCCTGCCTCCCGTCCCCGGGACATCCATTCATCCACCCGGTTAAACGCTCCATCTCTCCTGCTGACATTGCTACAATATGTGAAAGACAACCAGTGGGGGGTTCGAAGAGCTGCTGGTGCTGTAGTTCTTTGGGGAATTGAACGGGAGACGAGCAGGAAACTACAAAGGGAGATCCCAAACTTACTGCAACGGCGGATACAATGAGCAGCCTCAGCCTCACTCTCCAGGGTAAATAAAGTTATTTCACTATTTCACTATATTGCACCAGAACCATGGGTTTTTTAACTTTGGTCTAACAAGCATAGATGATCTCTGCAGCATGGATGCTTGTCTCTTCTCTTGTTGCAGTGCTGCTACTGTGCGGACTCCTCAGGGCGCAGCAGCAGCAACAGCAGCTGCTGCCCGGATCCTGCAACTTCGAGCTGGGCACCTGTGGCTACACATCAGACCCAGAGTATGGCAGCTGGAGCATGAATGAAGAAGGTACAGTGTCACCATGAGCTCTGCTTATTGACAGAAATAAACATGCTTGGAATAGTGCAGTATTACTCATACTGCCATTTAAATACCCTGATGAAATGCACCTATTTGGGAACATAGTATGGTCTGTAAATGACTCTGGTGTAGACTCACACAACAGATATTCTGTAACCACTTACAAGTCAAATGTTAGAAGTGTAGAAATAGAACATTTGAATGTAATTTCGAATGTACACTCACTGATTTGACAGTCCAGCAGATCAGATTGAAGAATGTACAGTGAATGATTGTGTTTTTATTGTTAGTAATGACATAACATGAGGTAACAGTCAAGTGGTAAATAGTAATCAGCATACAAGAATATTTAATCTAGGTCAGTGGTTTGTGACGATTTAAATACAGTACATACTGCAAAACTAGAGCCTACAGATGCAACAGACATACACACCTTTAGCTGCATGATGGCTACAGGTATTTAAGCAACTGAAAAGAGGACTTCATATATTCTACAAATACAAAACAGGAATATTGCTCCATAGCACTACTAGTGATCTAAAACTCTATGGTACCTTTAAAGGTGCAATGCAATGGAGTACATCACAAGAAAAGATTTGAATGAAGTCAGAAAAATAAACTTTTTGGGGCAGATTGTTAAAAATGCTTATTTTCTAACCCAGTAATCGTATGGTGACCATTTGTGAGGGATCTGAGACTAGATCTGCAGCTATTGGTTGATTAATTGAATATTTTCAACTGTGTCATTGTTTAAGACAAACTGTCCAAATTCTCTGATTCTTTGACTCTAATGAACTAATTATCTTTGTGTTGTAAAAACAAAACAAGACATTTGAGGACGTCAGTTTGGTCTTTGGGAAACACTGATCAACATTTTTTGACATTTTATGGACCAAAGAACTAATCGATGAATCTAGAAAAATTATCCATAGATTAATCGACGGTGACAAAAATCATTAGTTGCAGCACTGGAGCTGGGACCCCATTGGTTAATTGATGATTATCAATTAAGCAGTGAAATTACTTTGTAACTTGGCACACAGAGCCATCATTTAGGTTTAATCAATAGAGACATTCAGAATTGAGGCTAGAAAGATTCTGAGTGTGTGTGTGTGTGTGTGTGTGTGTGTGTGTGTGTGTGTGTGTGTGTGTGTGTGTGACATCCATTGTTGCCACCATACAGCCGGCCATTGTGGTGACTCTTGTAGTAAAAGCCTATTTCTACTGTGTGACAACAGCTCTTGTCCTCATTCTCATCTTTTCCCACCCCCCATCGCTCACTACAGCAGTAGACTTGTAGTAATAGTGCATTGCATAAAATTGTCAGCTGGTGGCTTTCCATAAAAAGTTCCATTACCAAGTTAAAATTGTTAAAACCACATTCTTCCCCCTCAGTGAAACACCAAGAATGTGCTGTATTAGTATACAAATAATAAGTTTAACTACTGGACACAAGATGTCTCTTACTGTACTGCACTGAAAAGTTTACTCTGCGTTCTGGACGTTCCAAATCACACTTGTAAAGCCCCCATCAGTACTGGATTCATGTCTCTAGGGGAGTGATTTTAACATTAGCTGCACTGGTCAGAGCGCACATGTAGGTCATTTTTCACCCCCACCCCAGTAATACTGTAATTATAGCCACAATTACCTACTGTTCGGTGAACTGGCTGGTCCTCCTGTAATTTCAGTCCAGTCTGGAGTAATGTCCTTGTATTTTAAAGTGAACCTTTGAGTTTCTTTCCATGTGAAGAGCTACTTGACCTACTTTTTTATAAGCTGTGTGAAATCTGTTGAAATTTTTGTTTGAAAATGTAGGAATTCCGAAATATTTCTGTTAATCTGAACCAACTTGTTCCCTCTTTCAACCAATGCGATCATAGTGCTAGTTCTGGGGTGGTGCTAGTGCTGGTTCAGAGTTAGTTCAACTTGAAAACCTTCTAAGAACCGCTTTGCTTTTCCATGGGCTAGAAAGCTATCATAGAGCCACGTCAGCGTACTCTGCCCTACAAAGGCTAACCGCAGTAACTCCACTAACGATGAAAGTGAGATAAATGGCGACCTATGACTGTACAAATGCAGATCCTGCACTTCGTCTTTGTAGTATCACATTTTTCCTAACAAAATCTAACACAAATTTTATTTCTCATTACAGTAAATCTGTATTTTTTATTGTTTGCATGTTTAAAAAGTTGAAATAGATGTGTCATTAAGAAAAAAATTAAGCGATCCTCAAATATTATTTTGTGATCTTTTTGAGAACCAATACAATGACGTGGTGTCATATAGACACCATTAAAAGTACATAGAATCAGCGAATTGAGCATAGTGTTAGTTCAGGCAGGGCACGAAGTCAGGCTTAGCTTTCAGTTACAGCTATATCATACGATCACAGCTAGTCATAAACATACATCAGCTGATTCCTCTAAGCTTCCCATTAGATACCATACACAGTCAGCTGACAGCTCACCTGATTTCCTCAAGCATCCAATTGGCAAACATCTACATGGCGCCTTATTTAAGCTGCTTTAGCCTGCCTGCCTATCTCTGCTGCTCCTCTACAAGCCTTTTTGCACCCACCTCCACCCCAGCTCCTCCTTTTTATGTTGTTTCTAATTAATCAAATGTCATTATCTGATTGCCATTGATGCTTGCTCTGTTCTGTACCCTGGGGGGTCTCTGCTGCCCTCTCCTTGTCTTAAACTTTTCAATGTATGGAAGGGCAGGGGTGTGCTCTCCTCTTAGTCTTCCACAGGCACGCGAAGAAAAAGGAGGTCCCAAAAAAAAGCCAAACCGCCAAATGTAATCTGCTTGGAATATAAGATATTTTGACAAAAGTGGTCCTGACTGAATTAGCAGTTCCTGTTTGCAGTGTACCTTTTTTCTGAAGTTCTGAAGCATAAGCTTTCAACTGCTTACAGGGTGTCTGTAGCGTCTTAAAAAGTCTAAAATCCAATGATCTGAATTCAAATGTCCTAAAGTGACAGGTCTTAAAAATTTATTGGATTAACGAAGTTAACGTTATTTGTTTAAAGTTGCATTTTTCATTTTTCTTTTTTTCAGTTTTAGGGAAATGTTTTATTGCTTATGCTGTAACAACTCCAAAACTACAAACTACAAAACTTACATGGAACGACTACCAATTTTTCTTCATATCCTTAGTAGTTTTTTGCCAGTATGGATGCAAAATAGTGTAAGTCACGCTGAATGAGTTATGACTAGGAGTGCGATTTCTGACTCAAATTTGCCTCACACAGTATCTTTGCTTGGGTTTTTCTTGTCCTGCCGAATGTCCATGTCTTTTACAGACCACATCCTATAATTGGTAGTTAAAATGCCGTCTGGAATGATGAGATAAATTACAGAGGAACACGGTGAACATTTCATTCAAGGTGCACTTTTCACACTTATTACACAACATGTTTTTGAATGGTAGTGATCCATCCTGGATATTTTTAATGTATATAAGTCCAGGGACTTTTTTCTCACTTGAGCTTTTATTTGACCTGTGTGCATTTGGAAACTGCACTGTATAACCTACTAAACTGTATAATGCACTAAAAACCGTCATTCTTAACTACAGCCTCATAAATTATAACACCTTGGAGTTAAATATACAGGTGTAACAGGTGTCATTTTCATATTTCCTGTGACTTTTCCAGTACAGTTTTGTCCTGCTTCCAGTCTTTGTGCTCAGTCATGTTAAATGGGTCCGTAACCTACAGTATCTCTTGGAAGTACATCTACTCTCCGACTCTGAGCAGGACTAAAAAGTAGGGGTGTAAGAAAATAACGATACACTTGAATATCACAATATTTTCTTTTGTGATATTGTATTGACTCTTAAATCCCTAGCTACTCAATAGAAGTGTTGTAAATGTAAACTGAGCGCTATGATGTTAGATGTTACATGTATTGTGATAAATATGAATGCAGATCCATACAAAAATACATGGTGGTGCATAGGTGGTGTGTCATATATCGCTTCGCTTACAGTATTGCAGTATATCGCAATATATTGAATCGGAACCCATGTATAAGGACATGTATTCCTGCCAACACACATCCCTTTATTTAACTACACAGTCCACTTCTCTACTAACTAATTTAAAAAAAAACCAATAAGTAGATTATCATAAAGAGCTGCAGGCTTTCATACAGTAATCATGACTCCAAGGTGCAACAGGTGTTTTTCTGTTTTTCCTCTTTCATTAGTCGTTCTTTGTCATTCCATTTGCACTATAGACCTTTTTCACAGCAGCCATTTTGACATGAAATGGTAGGGTGAACACAGGTGTTACCAATAGGACTATTTAAAGGTCCAGTGTGTAACATGTAGGAGGATCTGTTGGCAGAAGGGGAATATAATATTCATAGCTTTGTTTTCATTAGTGTATAATCACCTGAATATAGGAACTGTTGTGTTTTCGTTACCTTACAATGAACCGTGTTTATCTGCAGAGGGAGCAGGTCCTCTTCTATGCAGTCCGCCATGTTGAACCACCATGTTTCTACAGTAACCCAGAACAGACAAAACAAACCAAACACTGGCATTTTTCCCAAGTTGTCGATTCATTTGGAGTTTGGAAACCTGTGTTTACCCTACTATTTTAAGTCAAAAGGGCTGCTTTAAAAACGTCTATTGCCCTTAAGCCAGCTGCTTCTTTTTCGGTGGAAGTCACCCGTCACAAACAAACGATCCTCTCCTTTCAAAACGATATCTGCAAAACAAGAAGTTATAATCGATTAATGAAACTAATAACCTAGTTTTATTGTGCTCTCCAATCTGTTGTCACTTTTGCTGCTTATTTTTGGAGCCCGGCAATCCCAGTAAAATGCATTCCTTACTATTAGGATACTGTGTGTTTACGAGCAGAGGGAAATTGATTGAAAAACCTTTTATAAGCTTCTCCTCAGTGTGTGTAATTGCCGGATTGCATTTGAGTGATACCCTAATGTGAGCTATTTAGGGAAATGTAAACTTTCATTGGATGTTTATCCTCACTTTTCTGAGTTTATTAGAAAGTGAAAGGTGCTGAAGTGTGTTTGTAACACTCATGAGGTCATTGGACCTGTGTGTGTGTGTGTGTGTGTGTGTGTGTGTGTGTGTGTGTGTGTGTGTGTGTGTGTGTGTGTGTGTGTGTGTTAGTGTGTAAGAATGACGAAGTAGAAGAAATTGGTTTAAAATATGGTGAGTCTGTTGTTGAACTGAGTTGTTAACCAAGTTAGTTCCATGAAAATTATAGTAGTGCAGTCATTTCCAACCCCTCAAAATGTTTTTTACAAGGCCTTTATTGATGACCAGTCTTCATTTGACTTAATCATTTGAGATTTAGCCATTAAATTAAATAGTAGAGCAAGCACATGTCACAGTACAAGTGTAGTCCTCATTAAGAATCTGTTGTTAGTGAGGTGCAGTGTGGCGACACTCAGTCTCTTTAAATGGGTCAAACACACTGGAATGCCAAGCCAAAATATTACAGGGTAGCTGTGTTTCCACAGGCAGAGCTGCCAGGCCAGATCAGGTGCCCTAGTTTTTGGGTGAAGAGACGAGAGTGGCGTGATGCAAATAGTTACAGACACAAGGTGAAACCAGAGAGCTAAATTTGTTGGTGGATTTGGTGCTGGGAGGGAATTCAGTCTGGGTAGGCTCTTTGAAATGTGCTCATTCACACATGATTGTGATGTTTCACTTGGGACACAACTGACGCCACAACTATAGCTCACATCAGGGGAAAGTGTGAATGTGACACTGGCCTAATCGTTACAGCTTTTATAGTAGCCAGAATCTAAGCAGTATCAGCTGCTGATTCATTGTTATGAAATCAGATCTGTGCACAAGATTGTGAGAAATGGAATATAATATTCATAGGTATGTTTTGATTAGTCCATAATCACCTGGGAATAAGAATAGAATGAGACATTTGTATCTGCAGAGGGAGCAGGTCCTCTTCTACAGAGTCTGCCATGTTGAACCTCCATGTTTCTACAGTAGCCCAGAACAGACAAACCAAACACTGGCACTAGATAAGACCTTTTGTGTTTTTTGCAAGTTTTGTGGCCAGTGTAGTTTCTCTTACACAGTGTTTCAATCAGCAACTACAGTGACGCTAAATCCTACACACTGCACCCTTAACTGTGAATTACATTTTGTCGTTCCCTTTTATTTAAAGGTATGTGCAGAAACACACGTGAAATTCATGTGCTCACATGTGACCACATATACGTTTTGCACATGTGGTTTTGGAACATTTTTGTGGTGTAATGTGTAAAGCCCATGTAAACTCCTATGTGAAACCTATGAAACATGGGAATTTCATGTGTTTTTTAAAAGCAGCGTAAAATTACAACTTTATTTAACTTTATTCATAGAATTATCACTTTTTACTTGAACTTATAATATTATGAGTTTTCTTCTGAAAACAAATCCTGTGGTAATCATGTCATATATTTGTTAAAATGAGATAAAAGAAGGTTTTTTCATAAGTTCTGAAATGTGATAACTATTGGTAAAAGTTGTAAAAGTTGAGTTTATTAAATAAAATTTTGACATTTTACAGTTTGAGGATGTGCTGGGTTTTGATCTCCTGCATTACAAAAGTGTGTCACCACGCTCCACAGACCAAGCCAGACATTCCGATCGACTCCCCCTTTTGTCCTGTTTTCCACCGGCTGCTCCATTGTGTGCATCCAGCCACAGAGCGTCCCAAAGCAGCACCCTCTGTTTATGATGATCTGTCAGCACAGTTTATGTTGCAACTGTTGAGATAAGTGGCGGTACTGTAAATTGTGTCCATCTCTCTCTCCCAGCCAAGCCTTTAGATCTCACTGTGTACTCGCTGGTGCTAGTACTCTGCATATTCCCTGCCACGCTGAAAACAGAGCTCTGCCCCAAACAGAAGCTTCACGGAGAACCAGCGTGGTTTGCTCTAAACCCCTAACCAGGCTGAGATGGAATGAGCTTGGAGATGGTGATAGACTACACCCACTGTGGCAATAAATAGGCTCATAAAAAAGAAGACGGGACCACGGCTGTGTTTTCTGTTTGGTTGCCATGGCAATGTGGGCTTGAGTTGAGGAAGCTGCACCGAAAAAAGAACCCAAGGCAGAGTTTGTGGTAAAAAACCAGGATGGATGTCCTAGGTGATTATATTCACTAAACAGAGACATCACAGACAAAGACATCAGGCTGTGCTGGAACAGGATAAACAGAAAGACAGGGATGGATGGAGCGAGGTGGAGAGCTGTCAGGGCCTCACTGCTGTCTCACAGACCACCACGACGAATCCTCCTTATCTCTCTGGACTGTTAAGAGCTTCTCCCAGCCAGTTTCTGACTTTAAATATGTTGACAACTTAAGGTGAAAAGTTCTGCTAATATTAGTGGCACTTAGGTCTGTAGAATACTCCGTAAACACTTCTCCTCTCCTCTGCTCTCCTCTCCTCTCCTCTGCTCTCCTCTCCTCTCCTCTCCTCTCCTCTCTTCTCCTCTCCTGGTCGCAACTGAGCAAAAGTTTCATTTTCAAGAACAAATGTAGCTCAACATGCTGGACTCCTGCAGTAGTTAGCCTCTGCACACAACACCCAGTTTATCACAGATTCAACCCCTGTCCTACCTGTTCCTCGGTCGCTCACAGACCTTTCCTGCTAGTAAGATTCTCGACGAACTTAATTTGACCAAATAAGGGATCATAGATACAACTGTAAATCCCCCTGCCTCCCCTCCCCAGCCTGATTTAGAAGTGAGGGCATGTAAACCAGCTTTCCATAAACACAGTTTATATCCACTAAATTGCCTCTTTGCTCTCTCAGACCTGGCTGAATGGGTAAAAAGTCTCTCAGCTGTGACATAAAGGGAAGATGGAAACTCTATCTCAGGGTTTCTGTCATTACTTATTTGCATCGTTGTCTCTCTTTAGTTCATAATACGGGAACAAGTGATACACATATGCAAAGCTGTATGTGCTCCAATGCACAGTATTTGACATTTTACCTTTCTGCTTTTCATTTCAGTACCTTTTTGTGCCTCTGTTGTTGTTCCCCTTTTTTTCTAGAGCTCCAGTGGTGTACTATGTACTTAGGACTGTAAGCAGACGAGGTTGTGAGTTCAAGCCTAATCTGGAGTGGTCTTCACACATTTACCATTGGAAATAAGAACTTTCTGTTCTTATTAAAGATCCCCTCCAGACATGCATTATGACATATACAAATATTCTCTTCTTGTGTTAGCATCTAGATTATTGTTAATTCAACTTCAGTTTGTGCATTCATTATGAGTTTGTGTTTGTTTTATAGTTGTGCATAACTGACTCTGCCAGGGGATTCAAAGACAAGCTTGTCACATATTTGTTGATCACCAAAAAATGAAAGCTGAATTCTCACGATATGAACAAAATATGGTCATGGACAGTGTAAAAAATAGCCACCTGATACGATTAATCTTTCTTAGGTGATTAGCTGTTTGGTCCAGAAAAAGTCAGAAAATGTTGATCAGTGTTTCCCAAAACCCAAGGTGACCTCATATGTCTTGTTTTGTCCACAACCCAAAGATATTCAGTTTACTGTCACAGAGGAGTAGAGGAACGAGAAAATATTCACATTTGAGAAACTATAATCAGAGAATGTGGACATTTAAAAAAATTACTCAAAAGCGATCGATTATCAAAATATTTGGAGATTAATTTAACAGTTTACAACTAATTGTATTGTCATTGCAGCTCTAGTCATACTGTATATGAATATGATATATCTTCATTTGGTTGTCACAGGGCATTTGATAACAGTGGACTCAGCCTCCTTACAAGAACAAGAGCAGGCGGTTCTTGTCAGTCCAGTTCTGGACCACCAGGAATGGAGCTGTGTGAGGCTGGTGTACCAGATCACCGGACAAGGTTCCCTGCAGCTCCACCTCAGACCAGACAGCGATAACTTTGACTACCGGCTCTGGACTGCCGACAAGGCCTCCGACAGCTGGCTCATTGCTAGTGTGGACCTCCCCAACACCACAATCCCCTACCAGGTAGGAATGGCTGTAAAAACACAGTTCATCAGTTATCCGTGTTTATAAGTTAGTATCTCTTGGAAGAACATCTCCTCTGCTTATAAGTTTGTTCAAACTCACCCACTGTGGAATAGGAATAGGCTCCAGTTCCCCATGACTCCGAAATGTTTGCTGCTGTCTTCCAGAAAAGAATTCTGAATATGAGATTTAGTTTTCCTTCATAGCTCCTGATTAGTGCACCTATAGTCCTGTCAATATATAGCTAGAGCTGAAGATTTTGGAAAGTGGTACATTGGGTTTCAGCTGGGAGAAGAGTGGCGATTTCACACGCAAAAAGTTCTCTTAGCATTTTTTGAGTCTGTCACTGAGCAGCAGCTCTCCCTCGTTTTTTGGAGGGAGTTAAATTAGCAAAATTAAATGATAAAACTTGGCCAAGAAAAAAAAAAACCTGATAGACCAATTGACAAGTGGTAGTGGTACTGTGTCAAAACTGTTTTATAAGTCTCATAAATCTACAAATGTCCAACCACTACTACAGGGTTATAGACTACAGTCACTCTCATAACCCTGCTCTTGTTGCCCAGTGGTAGTGACTAATACTCTGTTTCCACAGGAGGAACCTTTCTAAGAACTCAGAATCTTTACCTGTGTGTGACCACAGGGTCTAAATTCAGTTCCTCAGCCATATTTGCAGGTGCCATAAAAGTCCCTGCTCTGTCGGTAGTGCTTTCTGATCACCCATCACTGATGCGTCTGAAATACAACCCTGAGGGTGTTAAAACGTGTGTTCAGCTTCATTACTACTTCCTCGCTGCAATCAATAGAACGAGGGACAGACAGAGAGATAAAAAGAGAGAGAGTGTGATTGAGCCAAAGCCCAGAGAAAATGAGATCAGCAAATGCGAGAATTAGTGTTTTATGGTGGTTCATAGTTCATTTGGATGCTGGCGCACCTTGGCTGCCGCTCCGTCTCCGACAATAGTTTATGATAAAGTTTTGTCTCTGACCTACGCCTCACCACACCAGATAGTCTGGTTTGGCAGTCCTCTGAAATTGGAGAGCAAACAGATTCACTGCTATCTATCTGCTTCGTACCTGTGAAGTCCTCCCACCGTCCTGCTAGCTCCTGCTAGCTACAGGATCCCGGGACTGGCATAGCCTCATCGCCCTGCCTCGGGGTGGCCATTCCGCGGTCTTTCCCTGCCATCTTCTCGCCAGCTCGAGCCCACCTGCCCGTCCTGCCAGGATCTTTCCATCCCGGTGTGGTCGGCTTTACTGGGCTTTGGCTTTGGCTTCCTCCGCTGGCCACCACCGCATCAGGCTGACAACGTCCTCTCCCTACCTGGACCCCCTGGCTAGCAGGCCGGCGGCCCCTCTCCTCCTCATCGGATTATCCCGTCCTCCCGGGATCTTTCCGTCCCGGTGTGGTCGGTTCTGTCGGGCTTCGGCTGGCTTCCTCCGCTGGCCACCACCGCATCGAGCTGACGACCTCCTATCATCACCGGGTCCTCTAGGCTAGCAGGCCGGGGCCACTCTCCTCATCGCCTCATCATCGGACCACAGATCGCCTGCTGCGGTTATGCTGTGGATCACCCTGTGGATTCTTCTGGAGTACTCGACACGGCTCCGTCCACAGACACCTGGCTCATGGTCACAAGCTAGCACTTGCTCCGTGCTAGCGCTCCACACCTGGATCATGCCGCCGCTGTACTCCACCTCCGTCCTCCACTCACTCAACAACCATCAACGCCCGGACTGCACCGACATCCTCCGTGAAACTGGACTACTTCGCCGTCCTCCACACAGAGGCTCTGGTCGTATGTTCATCTACAACTGTTCAACTCCTAACTCTATCCCATCCATCTGGTCCTGCTCACGCACCGCAACTTCCTCATTACGTCATCACAACAAACGACATGTGCACCTATCTAATCTCCGCCCCCTTCCTCGGTCCTCTCAAACTTTCACGAAGCAACGTCACCTGAAACTGGCTTTGCTCAACACCCGCTCACTTAACAATAAAAGTCTCATTCTGAATGAATTCATAAGTGACAATAACCTGGATTTCCTCTGTATCACTGAAACCTGGCACAAACCTCTGGACTACTTTTTGCTCAACCAGACCACACCCACCGGATACACTTACATTGACAAACCCCGACCTGAGGGCGGGAGGTGGTGTAGCAGCAATCTACAGGGAGGACATCAAAACACCACCATCTCCATCCCTGCTGCTCACTCCTTGAACACCTCACTTTCAAACTCTCGGTCCCACTCCTCTGGTCACTGCCATCATCTACCGCCCCCAAACCAAACCCCTCCTTTATCACCGACTTCTGACTTTCTAACTCAGTTATCTGCCATCTCACCTTCCGTTCTTCTTCTGGGAGATTTCAACATCCACATTGACAATGACTGCAAATCTGCCACTGAATTCCTGGAACTACTACACTGCTTCAACTTCACCCAACACGTCAACTTTCCCACCCACAGCCGTGGTCACATCCTGGATCTGGTCTGCTCCACTGGTCTCACCTTACTTCACCTCTCCAGCTTCAACCTCAACATCTCCGACCACCTGGCAATCATCACGGACATTGACATCCCCATTCCCACCATTAAGGATAAACGGACAATATCTTTCAGAAACCTCAAATCCATCTCCCCTTCAGCTCTTACTACCTCTCTTGCAAGTAAAATATCTTCCTCCCCCACCGCTGACTGACAACCCCTCGACCTCACCAAGTTCTACAACGAAACACTCTCCTCCTGTCTCAATCAGCTGGCCCCCATCAAAACCAAAACCGTCTCATTCACCCACTCTGCCCCCTGGTACACTCCTGAACTGCACAAAATGAAAAAAATGAAAAAAAAAGACTTTACAAGAAAACCGGTTTAACTGTTCATCTCCAAACTTTTACAGACTACCTCCTGCAGTACAAGGATGCCCTCAACACCACCCGGTCCACCTACTACTCTCACCTCATTCACGCTGGCTCCACCAACCCCAAGGCTCTGTTTTCTACAGTAAATAAACTCCTCAAGCCCAGCGACAATACCTCCAAGTCATTCACCACTGACAAATGCAACTCCTTTCTTTCATTCTTTCAATCAAAAATCGACACCATTTATAACAATCTGTCCTCCGCTCCTGCCCCCACAGCCTGCAATCCCACTCCTTCATCTGCTCCCCCTTCGCCTCTCAGCCTCTGTCTCAGTTCTGCCCCGTGTCACCAGGGGAGCTGCCCAAAATCATGACAGGCATGAAAACCACTACATGTGTCCTGGATCCTATCCCATCTCACCTCATCAAGGACTCTTTACCAGCCATCTCCACACTCATCACAGAAATCATCAACTCCTCTCTCAAGTCCGGCTCAGTCCCCCGCCACTCAAATTGGCTGCTGTCACCCCCATCCTCAAAAAACTGGACTCAACCCTGACATCATGTCTAACTTTCGGCCCATCTCCAATCTTCCTTTTCTGTCCAAAATACTGGAACGTATTGTCGCCACACAACTCAAAACCCACCTCTGCTCAAATGAACTGTTCGAACCATTTCAATCCGGTTTTGCTCCCAACACAGCACCGAAACAGCCCTCCTGAAAGTCACCAACGACATCCTCCTCTCCGCTGACTCCGGCCACCTCACCATCCTTATCCTCCTGGACCTCACTGCAGCCTTTGACACCATCAACCATACCATTCTCCTCTCCCGTCTTGAGTCCTCTCTCAGCATCACTGGCACTGCACTTTCCTGGCTAAAATCTTACCTCACAGACCGACAACAATTCATCCATGTCAACAACTGCACCTCCTCCACTGCTCCCCTGTCCCAAGGCGTCCCCCAGGGTTCGGTGCTTGGTCCTCTCCTCTTCATACTCTACCTGCTCCCCATTGGCAACATCATTCGCCACCATGGTCTCCACTTCCACTGTTATGCCGATGACGTCCAGCTTTATATCTCCACCAAATCCATCACCCGGCCACTCACTCGACTCTCTCCAACTGCCTCACCGACATCAAATCCTGGATGCATTCCAACTTTCTCAAACTCAACTGTGACAAATCAGACCTTATCATTATCGGCCCCAAATCCCTCACCAAAACCACAGACAGTTTCCACCTCACCATTGACAACTCCACCCTGTCTCCATCCCCCCACAGTCGCAACCTCGGAGTCATCTTTGACACTAACCTCTCCTTTGAACATCACATAAACCTAATCACAAGAACTGCCTTCTTTCATCTCAAGAACATTGCCCGTCTTCGCCCATCACTCTCCTTCTCTGCTGCTGAAACCCTCATCCACGCCTTCATCACCTCCAGAATGACTACGCAACAGCATCCTCTATGGCACACCATCCAAAACTCTAAATAAGCTACAATACATCCAAAACTCCGCTGCACGTATGCTCACCCACACCCGCACCCGTGATCACATCACTCCCGTCCTCCAGACCCTCCACTGGCTCCCAGTTCCACAGCGCATTCAGTTCAAAATCCTCCTCCTACACACAAAGCCCTCCATAACCAGGCTCCTTCCTACCTCACTGACCTGCTCCATCGCCACAATCCATCCCGCAGCCTCCGCTCATCTGAAGCAAACCTCCTGACCCTCCACCCCGGACCAAGCACGAACCTGGGGCGACAGAGCGTTCTCTGTAGCTGCCCCTCCCTCTGGAACTCTCTCCCCAAACCCATCCGTGACTGTACCGACCTTCCAACATTCAAATCACTGACAAAAACTCACCTTTTTAAAATTGCTTTTAATGTTTAGCTAAGTCTGATGTGTTTTTAATGTTTTACTATTTGATGTTGTTTGGCTGCTTTTATGTTTATTCTATTTTTTATTTTATTTTTTTTATGTAAAGTGTCTTTGAGTATTTAGAAAAGCGCTTATAAATAAAATGTATTATTATTATTATTATTATCTGCTAACACAGAAAGAAATGAGCATCAAACACTTTGTTTTGTTTTCATCTATTCATTACATGCAGAGATCATGAAGATCAGCGGCGCCACAGTCAATACAAAGTGTGTTGTTCTTTTCTTGTGTGTGACAGTTGTGTCTTAAACCATCCTTATTAGTTCGTCAGGTCTGATGGAAATGCAGAAATGAATGTGCAATATTGGAACTTTAGTTCCTGAATTGATTAATACACCACATGACACTGCAATGTAGTACAAAGCTACATTACAGCTTCAATGGCCAAATCTTCCAGTGTGGTTGGTTATCTAACTGCAAATTACAAAGGTCTTCCAGTCAGGTTTTTGTGAGTTTAATTGCCTGTTAATGTATGCCTGTAGGTATGTGTGTGTGTGTGTGTGTGTGTGTGTGTGTATATATATATATATTAGCTTTGCTTGCTAATCTAAATTTAAAGAAAGCAAACCCTCCTTAAATACAGAGTGAGTTTGAGGCCAGTGCCCACAAGGGATAAAAAAAAAAGCAGTGATGTCATGTCAGCCTCTTTCTAAATTTAACTAGCTTCCTTATTGTTGACCAGAGCTCTAACCTCGTCCATAACTGTCTTCTCCGGAAGGAACAGTTCTTAAAATGAACAGACAGAACCTGAGAAAGAACAAATGGTGTAATGTGGTATTAACTTAAAACTCTGTAATGGAGACTGTGAGGTTGTTCCACATGCCATGCTGAGTTATGAGGGGAAAACAGAACTACATCACGTTGGTACTTAAAGTAATGGCATGACAGACATTTAAAAGGCTGACTGCACAGTTATCTCAAATTACTAAAGTCTAGCTACAGATCAGTGTATATAGCTCTAGAATTAGTACTTGCATTTTTGGCCAGTGGTCGACTGTCTGTAGGCAGATACAGTGTGAAAGCACTTATAGTGAGTAAGTTAGTCAAAGTTAGTGAGATTGGATGTGAGTGATGATTCAGGCCATGTTCATATGTGTCTTTCTAAGAACATACTCTCGTTCTAAAGTCCCTGACTTGGTTACCAGTAGAAGTCAGAAAACTGGTTTAAAATACTGCTACTGGTCTACAGATCACTCATCAATCAACCGTCTAGAACAGTGGTTCACAACCTTTTTCCTTCAGGGAGCCCTTTTCTATCAGTGAGTACACAGATGACTTAGTGACATTATTTATGGATATTTCATATTATATCCAAAACTGTACAATGAACCCAAACAGTGAACTCAGTAACTGCAGGACGTTTGTGTAAAACCAGTGATTTGGATGAATTTTGAGCAGCTTGTTTCCTGCCACATTACCTTCCCTCTTTGTTAAAAAAGGACATGCTTTCGGCCGCATGAGCTCAAAAGTAGCAGATGTGTGAGCGCTAGTGATTCACACAGTGCCACTACCACAGCAAGTTCCAGCCCACTCAGCTGAAACAGTCACAAAATGCTAATACACGCTTTCTCTGAAGAGTCACAAGCATGTGTTCCACTCTGTGTATGTCACCAGTCAGTGGTGTAATGGTTGGTTGTGAGCATTCTGTGGCTGCTACCCACCCTCAAATACAGGACCTTAGAGTTTAATCTGACAGATATATGCTGTTGAATGTCACTAATTACATTTACTCAAGTACAAACTTATTTCCAGTTTCCTTCACAGCATTTCAGACAGAATTATTGTATGTAATTACAATTTACTTTATATATCAAAAATTTAAATACAAAAAATGTATTAAATTATACATATATCAGTAAACTACTTTTACGTATCATACTTGAAGTACGTTTTGGTAAAACTTAATGCTCTGCTGTACTAATTTGAGGAAACACGTATATGTCACAATGGTGATGGTGACATTGACGTGACATTGATGTAATGTGACTTGAGCTGAAAACAGGACATGACTTGACATGCTTTTTATGTGACAGGATTTTTGGCATCATGTAGCGTAGATCCAATATGTATGTAATATGATATGATGTAATGTTGCTGGCTGCCTTCTATCCCAGTCTGTTGTAAGTCTATTTTTTCTTCCACAGGTTTTGCTGGAAGGTCGACCTGAACGTGGCTCAGGGAACAGCGTGGCCATCTTTGAAATTCACATTGTTCCTGGTTACTGCATAGGTCAGTGTCAGCATTATATCAAGTGAGATGTTTCACCTATGATGTGATTCTGATGTGAAACTGTATTTATTCATATAAAATACATCAAATTGAGTAAGAAATAATGGCTGTCTTTGCTCTGTCTGTGACCAGAGTGTAACTTTGAGGAGCATCACCTGTGTGGTTACAGTAACAGCTGGAACCCAAATGTCAACTGGTACGTAGGGGGGAGTATGGCTACAGAGTCTAATCTGCTTGTAAACCACACCAACCAGCGAGGTATATGCACACACACACACACACACACACACACACACGCACACGCACACGCACACGCACACACACACACACACACACACACACAGTGTACCGTGTAGTAGTACTGTCCATTCGAAGCTCATGTCGTTATTGCTATTGTTCTTGGTTTGGACGGCCCGTTAGTTGTCGTTTGAGATCAAATTAAAGTTTATTTTAATGTTTTTAAAAGACAAAACATGATGAAATGCTTGGTCATAGCTGCATTGTGTTACATAAACAAAATATCATACACATTCACGTATACATTCATCACCTGCATCCATAGCTTCCAAAATGTAAAAGGTCCAGTGTTTAATATTTAAAGAGGATCTACTGACAGAAATGCAGTATAATATAGGTTTGTTTACATCAGTGTGTAATCACCTGAATATAGGAATGTTTTTGTGACCTTAGAACGAAACCTTTTTTTATCCACAGACTCCAGGTCATGTTGAAGCACCATTTTCTACAGTAGCCCAGAATAGACAAACCAAACACTGGCTCTACATACAATAATCTTCTCTTTACTTGCGGTGCTACCAGACAGGAACAACCTTGCATACACCTATCGTTATTTGGCAAATTAATCTCAGTGGTGTAGGATTGGTATAAGGTGGCAAAGTTGAGTCTATCATCCAGTTTTCATTGAATTACCTGTTTTCATTGTCAACCTTTCAACGTTATCCTTATTCATCTTTGCCCAGAGGTCAGAAATCAAGTGTCACCGCTTCTGCCAAGAAACATTATTAAACAATAACAAAATGTTATTAAAAAAAATGTCATTGTAAATTAGAAAATGTTCGTGGGTCACCTGCTACCTTGAGTGTCACTCACTGCTGTATTCTATACTATATTAATCCCAAAGGGAAAATGCAGTGTTACAATAGCCAGGTCATGTAAATCACATAACAAGTGAGGTAGTCATGAAACATAATACAATAAAAGCCATAATGAATGGGGATGCACCGATACATTGGCCAAACATTAGTATCAGTCAATATTTACCTTGTTGACAAATGACAAATAAGATGGCATTCACCAATATCAGTGGCCAATGTTAATCTGTTGTGTTGCATCAGTTTTGCGCTGGCCGCATGTTGTGTTAGTTACTTCCAACTTGGATATTGGATATTATATATTATTGTAGAAATAGTCACCTGCATTTTCCGGCACTGACACAACCTGCAAATACTGATGTGCTCCATGCAGCAACATGGAAAGTGAGCGGCTCTGCATCTCATGTCTCAGAGAAGATGAATAGAGAAATAGACTGAGCTCCAACAAGACAGAGATGCCTATCTTTGTAGATGTCTTTGTATTCCTGGTACAAGAGAGTGAATAAAAAAACTAAACATAACATGAACATAAACTAGGACCATACTCTCAACTAATGTAAGTCCAGTTTGTATTCTAAGCAGGTACAGTGAATCCAATAGCAGCATCAAAATGTCCATAGAACTGTTTCAAACCATCGCTGCACAACAAACCACTTCTGGGTCTGCTCCTATGATCAGTATGTTCCAAACTCCCCAAACACATATTTCTGCTAAAATGTGGCTAAATATACAGCTTCCATTTGTCACTAGTGTGGTTAGCTGTTTACGTCTGTAGTTCCCAACTGGTTATTATTACGCAGAATGCTGTACAGTGTGGAGGTCGGACTTCTTCATCTGCATTTAGCTCAAGATACACGGAAACATAAGATAGATTTTAACTCACAGCTGCATCATAACAGTGCACCTGCATGGCTGGCTTTATGAAGGAGGAGCTGGAGGAGGTTCTCAGGAAAACAGTCTTAGTGTTAACTCAAAATAAATCATAGGACAGAAGTACCACAGAGTGCAGAATGTCCTGTTCAGAGTGGATGAGTGTAATTAGAGAGCAGACTTCAGTAGATGTTGGGAAGATTTTCACTCTCAAACTTTTGCCTCAGGGTCCGGATAACTGTCCAAGTAAACATCCTTGGATCACCTGACAGTGTAACATTGCCTACTGTATAAACTATACTGTGTAATCCGTGTCCATGAGTCAACTTGACTGCTTCCCACCCAAGTCATGCACCACTCTGCTTTAGCACAACACTTTTTGCTTTTTGACTTCATTGACAACTGTAGCAATATTTTACACTGTTACATTATATCCGTTATATTTCTGTGTCTCAGCAGGACTTGGCGACAGGACTTTTATTCTTTGGTAACATTTTTTGATGAAACGTTCCCACAAATGGATCGAACAGACACTGTAGCCTTATTGAGCATGTTTGTCAGTTTTGCTAATGATCAAAAAAGTTGCAGTTAAGCAGGATTGCCTCATGGACAAATTCAAGAGATGTTTAAGATGAAAGTACAAAAATATTCTTGCATAAGGCCCAATCTTCCCAATCAATCTTATGATAAGTTTTCCACAGTTTGCAGAACTGCAGTGTCAGTGTAAAGTTCCATGTGCGGAGGATGAGTTGAGTCTCACAGCCTGAGGGAAGAAGCTGCTCTGTAGTCTGGTGGTACGGTAGCGGATACTGCTGTATCTCTTGCCAGATAGCAGCAGGGTGAACAGGCTGTGGCTGGGGTGTGTGCTGTCTTATAGTATCTGTGCAGGCACATCGCCTCACCATTATCACTGATGCTGGGTAGCTGAGTACTAATGATCTTCTGGGTGGTTTAAATCACCCACTGTGGCATCCTCCTGTCCTGGGCCATGCACCAGTCAGGATGCGATCGTTCCTCTTTAAAAGTTAAGAACTTGGCACAGGAATTTTGCTTTCTCAAATGTCCTTAACCAGGGTGGAGATGTAAAATGACCATGACAGGTTTTTATGATGTTGATTCCCAGGAACCTGAAACTGTTTACCTACTCTACCTCTGCTCCACTGATGTACACATGGCTCTGTGTCTTTGCCTCCCTTTTCCTGAAATCAACATTCTGCTCCTTGGTCTTGCTATAATTTGTTTTCTGTGTGCACCTTGGATTGCAGTCATGGGTGGACACAACAGTCTCTGATTTCCAGTTTCCGGGTAAACTTGATTCTTAATCCATTAATATTCCACATCCATTTTATTTTCCTGTGACCAGAGTAGGCTGGGTAGCGGAGCAGTTCGGTTAGCTCAGCTCTTTGCCCGGCTCTTATTGTTCCCAAAGATGTTGTGGGCAGTGATTGTGTCAAGGTCTGTTGCACTTCCTTTTCTGACACTGATGAGTGTTTTTCTGTCATATGTGCTTTGGTAATAAAGGCAAAAAATAACAGATAAAAACAAAAATGTAGCACAGCTTGAGGAAGCTACTCTGCAACGTGCCGTGGTAATGGTGGTGATGTGCTGAATTTAAATAAACTTAAACTTAAACCAGGCGAAATCCCACTGAAATTACAAATCTAATTTACATGAGCCACCTGGCCATGACACAATCTATGTGGATCACAAAATATTCCCACTTCTATCAGTTTGTGGTCTACCAGTTTGAAACAACCAAGGTTCCAGCTGCATAAAGTTGCAGATACTGAGGCTCTGTAGTTTGACAGTCAGTTTATATGGATTGATGGTTCTGGAGGCAGAATCTGTAATCAGGAAGGTGTGCTGGCCAGTGAAATGAGCTACTGTATTGTTTGGTTACAATGAAGACCTGCTTGTTTGGACCACAGTGGCTTGTGGTGATCCATCTCTGCTTTATATGCTTAAAAGCATATTGTAGTCAGTGCTCGCTGCAGTTTGTACATAAAACATCTGTTTAATCTCCAAATACTGGTGGAGGCGTGTGTGTAAATCACTATACACCAGCCACCATAACAATTAGGGCTGTGTACTGGCAAGAATCTAGCAATACGATACATATCCCGATACAGAGTTTACATTTCAACATACAACGATACTGCGAGCAAGGTGAGGAATTGCGATTAAAAAAAAATCTAATTTTAGGAAAACTGTATTTGTACAGTAACTATAACATCCATCATCAGAGGCCTCAGTTCTTCACTGCTATCTACCAGTTGGTTAAAACACAAAAATCAACACATTATCGCAAAACAAAATATTGCAATACTCAGGTGTATCGATATTTTCGTGCACCCTTAGTAACAATCCATTAGTTCATTTCCACAGTCTTATGGCAGCTTGTAAAACCACACACATCCTATAAATGTGACTGTATCATCCCATAACCGTGTACCCTCATCTATATCTTCCACTGCTCCAGGCCACCACATGTATGTGGACTCTGTGTATGCCAAGCACTTCCAGGAAGTGGCCAAGCTGACCTCACCCATGACTACGGTGCCCATGGCTGGCTGCCTGTCCTTCTACTACCACCGAGACCAGGAGAGGGGAAACATCTTTTCAGTTTTCACCCGAGACCAGCTGGGCCACTATGAGGAGATCTGGAGGCCGGAGGTGTACGCTACCGCCGGATGGACTCTGGTCAGCGTTGACATCAAGGCCCCACACCCCCTGGAGGTCAGTACTGGAGGTAGCATGCACAATTATCAGTGCACTAAGAAACTGGATGAACAAAAAAAGCAATATGTTCTGTTCTGATTCGTATAACATGAATGATGACTATGTTCCAGCAATTATTGCAGTGCAATGCAGACCTATTTAGTGTATGTATAATGACTTCTGTGGAGGAGCTTTGTCAAATCTGAAAATAATCTGATAATGTCATCAGGGTGATCTCAGCTTGGGCTTGAACACCACAAATTTCTAACAGAAACTGTGTCTCAAAGGACCATTGGAGTTTGAAAGATGTGGGCGGATGTGGCAACAAAATATGCCATCAAGTTGCATCATTGGAAATGTTGGATCCCCATAAGGACTGGAGACTAAAAGTCAGGATATTCTCAGCCTCTGCTGCACAGATTTTTATAGTTCTTCTTAGATCTGTAATGCAAGTCCCCCGACATAATGAAAATGTAATGCTGCTTAATAATGCACATGTTCTTCAACCAACTGCATCTATTCTGTCTAAGCGTGCTGCATAAGGGTTGATAGCTGCAGCACATTTCTTGCAGTCATCAGCAGAGAGCATTGTCCTGACCCTTGGCAGTCGCCATATTAATGATCCTTATGGCCTGTGGGAGGAAGCTCATCCTTTCTGTGTTGGCCTTGTTACTGTGGAGGAGTTTGTTTGACTGCAGAAACTGAAAAACCTTTGATTCTCCTTCCCATGGTCTTGTACAGTCTGTGTAGATGCAGATATATATGAGGGTGTAGACTGAGACCACCTCTAAAGATGCTGACAAATACAGTACCCTTACAGGGTTTAGTGTCCTGTCAGATAAAACCTGTACATTTTAAACCTTAAAGGTCAATAATTACGTACATTCAAAAAACACTTTCAACTTCCAGTGTTCAACTACGCGTTTGTGTGTAGGACAGAAATTCATGAGTCAAAGGGTTTTATTTTTTGACAGTGTTTGCCACAGTGACCCTAGCAAATTTTAGGAAAACTGTCTAAAGAATAAAAAATAAAGTTACAAAATCATTATTAACATTTTATATGTTGTACTATCAATATTTCCCATCAACATGGTTTCTCATTCTTTGTCAGTGCTTTAACCTCTAGGTCTCCTAGATTAACACACTATAGCTGAGTGAAATTGCCTTCGACGACTCTCCATATAGCCTAGAAATCTGACTGCAGCTAAAACTTTCACATCCAACAACTTAAGACACTTTTATGTGTCATGTCATTTTCATCTTAAATTTTTGATAGAAAAAAATTTAGCTCTTGTTGTAGGGCTGTGGGCACTTTCTCATTTCATCTGCTTTAAACTATGATACTGTATATATATATGTATATATATATATGATATATGACATATTAAGTGTCTCTTGTGTTATTAGTCTAGTGTGTACAGGCATATGTTGCAGGGAGCCTCTTGTTTCAATTCAATTCAATTCAATTCAATTCAATTTTATTTGTATAGCGCCAATTCATAACAGAAGTTATCTCAGGACACTTTTCAAATAGAGCAGGTCTAGACCGAACTCTTTAACATTAATTACAGAGACCCAACAGTACCACCATGAGCAAGCACTTGGCTTTCCTTTCATTTCTTTTTCATCTTAAGCTGCAAGGAAAAAAAACAAAACATATGGTACTCTCTCTTATTGTTGTGTTGTGTGCAGCTGAGTACACACACACACATGCACTCTCTCCTCTGTGGGTTTTCCACTGTACTTTGAAATGAGTATTCTTCCCTCTGACTCCACGGCTTCCTTTCCTTGTGCTTTCAGCCAGAACACCTCCCACAGCCTGCTGCTGTTCTGTGGAAAGAGGCTTGCGTAACGTTACTAACTGGGTCGGTTCCTCTGTCCAGTTGAGCCAAAAGTCGTACAGAGGTTTTCCATCAACCAGCGCTCTGCTGACTAACCCATGTTCCTGAATTTACCCCACGCTGATGTCACCGTCTGGCTTTTGCAGCTGTCTCATCTATCAGTATATGTCATAGGCTCGCAACATGTCTTTAACAGTTCACAGAGCATGTTCTCGGGATTAATAGCTCTCAGTCATACGTTGCTTATTTGTTAATGGTTGCTGTTTATGTCTGTGTGTGTTACCAGGTGGTGTTTGAGGTGGCTTTCAACAGTGCCAGAGGTGGATACGTGGCCATAGATGATATCACCTTTTCCCCTGAATTCTGCCACACAGACACAGGTGAGAGAAGACGTCTGGATCTTCGGGGTGCTAATGATTAACCACAATCATAAAGACTGTTCTGTATCTCAGTCCTGGTTCACTTTGGCTGGCTGTTACATATGCTGGACTCCTCACTTGTGGCCACTGGAGGCTGCAATGTTAATTACACCTCACAGAGCATAAGTGTGGAAGAGTGCACTATTGATTTGGTTTTTAGTGTTGGGGTTAGGAGGTTTAGGCTCAGAGATTCTCAACAACTCCCCCCACTGAACCCCCTGGGAGGCACTTAAAAAGGGAGGCAAAGGAAAAAGCAAAAAAGTCTCACTCAAAACCCATGACTGATATAAGATAGCAGCAAGGTGAACAGGCTGTGGCGGAGGTAAAGGCAAGAATTAAATTTAGAAAGGAAGAGAAGAGTCAGAAAACCAGAAAAAAGAGGGAACGAAAGGATGAAGGAGAAAGCAAAAAAGGGAGAGGGAGACAAAAGGTGAGTGAAAAAAGAAATGAGAGCAAAAGAAAGAGAGAAATATAGACGATGCTTATGGTCAGGCACCCAACATGCATACATTAGAGTCAGAGTAACTATGGGTTACGGTTGTGCGGACTAAAAAGGTTAAGTTTGTGCGAATGGGAAATATTAAGTTCATTAAGGGTTCCAAATTTCACAGCAATCTGCCCGAGGCCCCATTCATACATGCACCTTGTTATGTAACTGTGATCATAAATTTTGTTGGCCTCGTGTTTGAGTGAGTAGGCACCCGAGTCACTGTACAGGCCACGATGGCGTTCTGCACAGGCCTGTAATATTTTCCTAACCCATCCAACGTGGCTCAGTTCTGAACTGAATGTCGTCACATTAACACGAAGACTACCAGCAGCTCACGGTTCAGTACACACAGCCATTACTCGTAACCACACACTGTGGATGAGCCTGTTTTAAGAGCTTCTTCTCACGTTAGATCAGTCTATAAAATGTGATTTTGTTTTTTTATTGTGATACAGAATAGGCTAAAAACCATGAAGTCTGCAAAATGGAAATGTTAAGTTGAGGCTTAACAAGCTACCTCTGCATTTATATTGTCCTACTCATCAAACTTTGGCTAGCATGGCAAATATTCATATTACTACAAGTAGTAGATAAGTAAGTATAAAGAGTGTAAGTATTTGAAACATGAAAATCAATTCAGATTGGAGATGCTGTGTTTTGCGTTCCAGAGCCGACCATTGACCCCTCCATAGCCAACTGTGACTTTGAGAATGGGCTGTGTCTGTACTATCAGGAGAGAGCAGAGAGTAAGGAGTGGAGCAGGATTTCAGTGAAGCCCAATGCCTACAGGATAGGAGACCATACCACAGGATCAGGTGAGTCACACTGCACCGCAGACTGCTCACTGACCACACTGACAGGGAGTTATGGGCACGTTGTTTTACTATGGGTTTGTTATCTGCAACCACACCGCTAGATGCCTAAATCCTACCCACTGGGCCTTTAATGAGCTGTAACCTGGGGCCTCATATATCCTCAACTTAAAAAACCCTGTGAGGATGTAGTACGAGGTCCTTCCTTGCATTTGCACTTAATTTCACAAATGGGAACATTTTAGATATACACTGTTAAAAATTCAAAAGCTTGAGTGTGTCATTTACATGGTTTGTTTGGTTTAGCTGAATCCAGGCCCGTGCTGGCCGCTGGCCCAAAACAACAGCCAGCACAAACCACTTGACTGTGTTTCAGTTTGCAAAAGCAAAAAAAATCCAACAGACAACACAGGGACAACGTAACCAACCGACACAAAGACTAAATACACAGCTGAGGGGAAGGATAATGGGAGCCAGGTGAAAATAATCAGGGTGATGCAGACAATCAAAGCTATAGGGAAAACAGACAAAGACAGGAAGTGAATTTAAACAAGACAGAAGACGAGACGTTTACCAAATAAAATGGAAATAACAGACCCAAGTAAACCCAAAACCGTGACACAAGACTCATTTCCTTTGCTGTTCTTCATGTAAAGCTAGCAACGATGCAGTCCAGGTGACAACATAGTGAAGATATGTCAGACTACTTTCCTAAATCTCAATACAGATGTAGTAATAAGAAGATGGTTCATTTTTTATGTTCAACCTTGTTGAGATTTGAAAGTATGTGGAACTTTAGTATCAACTCCGGAGCAATGTCCTAATTCAGGTTCAGGAAGTCATCCTTAAACTGGATGGAGAACAGAGGAAAGTAGGAAATAGGAGCAGTGATAATGGATACAGGTTACATTACAATTGTTAAGTTCATGAATTCCAAAGTGGGCATGGGAAATTTAGGAAAATTAACTATTACATTTCAGTATTTGGAGTATTTGCTGGGGTATTTTGTTCAAAATAAAGCTGTGTTGGATTGTAACAACATATACGTATACATATTATATGAGACATCCCAGTGATGTACAGAAATATGAATTTGAGGTTGTTCCACTCTTCCTTGCAACTCTCAACCCACTTAACCCAGGCAAGAAAACCTCACTTGCTGCCTCATGATGGACGACATTTTACTTTGCACAGTGTTCCGTTGTAGTAGAAGTAACATTACCACTCTTGTTCTTAATTATGTTCCTTTTCTTATTTTTCTTAGGCTGTTTCCTCCTGGCAAACACTCGTTTCACTTCAAAGCCTGGTTATATGGGTCGGCTTCATGGTCCCTTTTTACCGGGGAACCACAAATACTGCCTGAGGTTCTTCTACCTGCTTCATGGCTTTAGGAAAGTAGACAACGCTCTTGTTCTTTACATTTATGATGAGAACAATGTGGCCCAGGAGAAGGTGTGGGGCCTGGCTGACACTTCCAGGTCTGTATGGACTGAGGTGGAGATCACCTACACGAAGCCCATGGTTTCCAAGGTACGAAGCACTAGATGTAGAGGTTGATGTTTTTAAATGATCTGAATGTAGAAAAAAAAGGTTGATGGATGGATGGATGAATGGATGAGAGGTGAATAGAGGGAATTATGAATAGACTGGATAAATGGTTTAATAGCAGTACTCAGTCTTTCTCTCTGTTTCCCAGTTTGTGTTTGTCAGCATATGTACGAACTTCTGGGAATGTGGCCTGGTGGGCATAGATGACATCACTGTCACCCTGGGGGACTGTCAGATCACAGCAGGTAAAAGACTCTCTAAGGAGCCCCCTTAAAGTTCCAGAAACTTTATATTGTCTTCTTAGACCAGGTCAGTACAAAATAAGAAAGTCTACTGCCAGATTGGAAAATCATTGGTCGGATCAATTAAAGCCACCTTTTGGCCATCAGTCCCTGCCAAAATGTTGGGGAACAGCCAGTTCAAACCCCAGATTCATCACCCTAGACAGTGACACACAACAGCTCATTGCAATACTTAACATTGAACAAGCAACAACCTCCATGGCAGTTTTGGTGTCTATAGCTAAATTCCCTATTCATGACAACTGTATTGGGGCGAGCCACACAACACTATGGGTGGTGTTAGTGCTCCCTATTGCAGAAAAAATGTTGACCGTAAGTAGTATCAAAAACAGGGTTTGCTTTAAGGATTATAACTTTAACGTTACATTATATGGCCAGAAATATATAGACACCCCTCCACACCCATTGCTAATTGGTGCATAAAACCAAGGACACAACCATGGAATTTCCATTGTCAAACATTTGCAGTCGTATGGTTTGCAACGAAGAGCTCTCACTTGCAACGGTTCAGCTGTGAAGTGGTAGGACACAAACTCACAAAATAGGAGCACTGAATACTGAAGTGTGTAAAAATCATTTGTCCACCCCTTCAGTACATGAATTGTTCAGAGTTCTTAATGACATGGGTTTCCATTGCTAAGAGCCTAAGATTATCTTGCACAATGCCACGTGTCAGCTGGCAGCCAGGTTCCAAACACTTGTAGAAACCCTTCCCAGAAAAGGGAAGGCTGTTATGTGTGTGTGTGTGTGTGACCGTGTGTGTTTGCTCCACAGGCTCCCTCCCAGGCCAGTGTAACTTTGAAAGCGGAATCTGTGGCTACATCCAGGATAAGAAAGAGGACAAAGCCGACTGGCTGCGAGTCCGAGGACACACCCCCACCTCCTATACAGGACCCAGAGGAGACCACACTACTGGGGTGGGTGAGTCATTTCCTCATTCATTGTTTTATTCATTTATTCAGAGCTCAGACACCCACATGATGGCTGGATGGAACCCTGTGTGTGGTCCAACATTTGAACGCAGAAGGTGTCCGTATACTGGAGCTGTTGGATGTTCATAGTCTCTGTTCTCATTGTTCTTATTCACACAGCAGTTCTTCTTTATGTGTTGCCCTTTCACAGCTACAATAACAAATGGGAACCACTGGGATCAATACAGTCCGCACTGTAAAGTGTGTTATTCACGGTTTTGTCCACTGTGTGCCTCCTTCAGGTTACTTCATGTACATCGAGGCATCGCTTATGCGGCCGGGTCACAAGGCTCGACTGCTGACCTCTGACCTGCGGGGCTCCTCGTCCCCTCAGTGTTTGATCTTCTACTACCACATGTACGGGTCTGGCACCGGGATACTGAGCGTGCTCTTGCGCCACGGCAGCGTAGAGCGGGACACGCTGCTTTGGAGACTGCGCGGCGAGCAGAGCGTCAGCTGGATGAGGGCCATGGTGGACTACCACTGCGATGTCCGACACCAGGTACGTCAGTGTGTAGATTATAGTCACAGACTGTCTCCTCACATAAAGATAGTGAGAAAACGCTGATACATGAATCCATATTTTGCTAGATACACCAGTGCAATAGATTCCCTCTCCTCACAGTACACCTCTTTTGAATTCTTTGCACTGAATGATAAACAAAAAGCTCATAGTTAACAATCTCACCAATCATCACATATGACCCTTTAGAAGTGTGTGGCGGTGTCTGTATCTACAGAGACCCTGCAGTCCCTCTGCCTGTCTTTTCTTGTTTTGTTGTGTGCGGGAGATTTCCGGGGGTCAACCTTTAGGCAGTGCTAGGGTGAGAGGTCAGGATAAAATTGAGCACACAGCAGACAGTGCAAAAATCTTCCTGCAGGATTGTGCAGAGGTGCTTCAGAACATAACCGCTGTGAAGCAATCAGAAAATAACATTTTATTTCTCTGATTCACTACTTTGTTCTCTATAACATCGCCTCGTTTCGTCCGTCACCATCTATCTTGTTCTACCATCGCTGCTCTCAGTTGAGTTGGGGGGGAGGGGCCAACTTTGAATAGAGCATTTACACAGCAATGGAAAAATCCTGCATAGTTTTGCCTAAAATAGACAGTTAGAGATTCATGCTGATAATTTTTCAGTTCATCTGCCCGTCTGCCAACTTAACAGCCTTTCCGAAATGCTAGTAGATTTTCAAACATTCCTTTACTGAACATTATTTAGCGTTCTATGCAGCAAATCAGGGTAAATGAGGTCCATAACACGTTTCAGTTTCACTCAGTTTCACATGGCCATTGTAGTCACATAGTTTGTGTTTCCTGCAGATTATATTTGAAGCCATCCGAGGCCCATCACTAAGAAGTGATATTGCTATTGATGACATCCGTTTTAAAAGGGGACCGTGTGAAGGTTAGTGTAATACACAGTCTAAAATCCTATCTATTCCATTCTAAACAGCTGTTGTTGTGTCCCTACTGTGTCATATTGTATTGTATTGTGTATGTGTCGACATATTATCACTGTACAAGAGCAATATCCAAAATCCCAAACTAGACCTGATAATAGTTTACATATTTGTTCAGAGTGTTTAATACAATATGCATTGTTTTATAAGTGGAACTGTGATATCTGTGTTGTCTTGTCCTCCTTTTCAGATCCTGGTGACATCACTCCATACTCTGGCTCCTCAGAGTATTTCAATGAGATTGAGAACTGAGACTGGCGGGAGAGTCTTTCTGTATAAACGCTTGGTAGTTTTGGCTGGTTGGGCTGGGGGCTGGGTGGCTTTCAGAAGTATGAATGTGAACAATCCACCATGACAATTTACAACATTGTAGAGCAATGCTTATGTTGCAGCTGCAACCTCCACCACACTGTACTGCTGTCTTCCTCAATGTCAGTGTTTGTGCTTTCAGTGTCTGATGCCAGATGATGGAATTGTATAATGTGCTGGGGAACGGTCGTCAACATTCATACATCTCACGTCTCAGTCTTGTGACATTCAATCAAACAACCACAATCCAGTGTTAAGGCCTGTTGACACTTTGCACAAGAAGTATTTGAAATATTTGCCAGGTATGCCACAAGTCAATGATAAAAGGCGCTTTCCTTCAGTGGTCAGGTATAGTGAGGTCATTTACAAATGCATCCTCCTGAAAGGAAACCCAGCACTGTGGAGGCCAAACACATTCTGAGTTTTCCTCTAAATATAAATATTTCACTGTCTAGGGTGATAATATTTTACATATTAAGGCTCCAGAGTGTAGGATATAGTGGAATCTAGTGGTGTAGATTGCGACTCCCTCGCTTCCCCCTCCCATTCAAAGCACAAAGGAGAAACTACGGTAGCTGGAAAATACACACAAAAAAGTGTTTTGTTTGTCAGTTCTGGGATACTGTAGAAACATGTTGTCTGTAGATGTAAAAGGCTCATTCTTTGGTAACAAAATCATAACAATTCCTATTTTCAGGTCAGTAAGGTATACATGTACATATACATATACATATACACACATATATACATAGGCTGCATATATATAAAAATACACTAATGAAAGCATATATTACATACATTACATACTTATGAATATAATATTAAATTTCTACCAATAGATCCTCGGCAGACCTTTGACATTGGAACGGTAGTACTGGGAAAGAGTTGCAAGACAACTTAAACCGACAACTGAAAATTGAATTGTTCTGTAATTGTTACCTTACCTCGCCTTCCATGGAGTCTGCCATGTTGAACCGCCAAGTTTCTACAGGAACCCAGAACACTGGCTCTAGACAGGCCTGTTCGTGTACTTGAGTGAGTTACAATCTGCAACTACACCGTTAAATGTCACTAAATCCTCCACGCTGGTCCTTTAAACTTAGTCTTAACATAATTTCTGACACTGTGCTCGCGTTTAATTAAAAAAAGATACCAAGCATAAAACCCTTCCCTTCCACAGGTTCTAAAAAGCCCATTTGTAACTTACACACCTGTGATGTATGAATCTCAAATTAACTTAAATTTGACAGCACCTGCCTCACACCTTTAGCTGATCATTCATACATTGTTCATAAAGCTAATGCACCACAGACGTGGGTGCTTCTTGGGTAAGAGATAAGATCATTTCTATGTCAAAGTAAAAGTTATAACTCCTTATCCTAATAACACTGCTTATCTGGTTATCATGGCTCCTGTCAGTGGGTGGGATATATTGGACAGCAACAGAACATTTTATCCTCAGAGTTGATGTGTTAGAAGCAGGAAAAATGGGCAGCGACTGACCAAGGGCCACATTGTGATGGCTAGACGACTGGGTCAGAGCATCTCCAAACCTGCAGCTCTTGTTGGGTGTTCCCGGTCTGCAGAGGTCAGTATCTATCAAAAGTGCTCCAAGGAAGGAAAAGAAGGGCCAAGGCTCATTGATGCACGTGGGGAGTGAAGGCTGGCCCGTGTGGTCCAACAGACGAGCTACTGTAGCTCACACTGCTGAAACAGTTAATGCTGGTTCTGATAGAAAGGGGTCAGAACACACAGTGCAGAGCAGTCTGTTGGTATGGGGCTGCAGAACATTATTGACAGAATAAAACAGAATGTTATGGCTGATCGCTGTATATCAGGCTTTGGGTTAACACAATGCTAGTTAGTAGATACATTCATCGTTGGTTTGGATATTTTTAAGGAAATCTTTTGACAAGAAGATATTGCCAACCTTATCCTATAAAGTACACACAATTAACATAAAGGCATTCATGAATTGGATGTTTGATATTTAATTGCTTTCCAAAGAGAACTGATGGAAAAGTCAGATAATCAACCTTTCAGCTCAGGGAGGTCGTGGCCCACCTTACTGGAGCCTTCTCTGTGGGAACTGGAAAAGGGCATGGAAGAAAAAAAGGGCTGAAATAAAATATCTTTGCATAGTGGCACTGGGCCTTGACTGCTGCCGTAGTTCGTCTAGGAGGAAACAAACACACACAACATCACAACAACATTAACAATGAGCAATACACTTTTCTCCTGCCGGCAAACCTCAGCTTCTGCGGCAAAAGCATTGGACATTCAATCTGAGAAATTAGATCTTGTAAACCTTTTTTTTTTTTAATAATAATACTTTTCCACTGTTGCACTGTTTGTTCATTAGCTCTGCTCTGTATATATTTGTTTATATAGTGTTTGAATTTAGAAATGGATGCTTAGCTATGGACAAGTTTCAAGTTTGAATGCCAATACATACAATTCTGCTGATACTTCCTACATATCTCATCTCATCTCATATAATAAGGCTGTTTTGGTTATTTGTTGGTCAGATTTTGCTCCACTGTGAGTCCAGATTCAGTCTTCAATCACTACCTTGGCCAGGGGTGGCCAACCAGTCAGGCATGAAGAGCTTAACAACCCCCACATTGTTGCATTTTGACTTATTATAAATACATTTTGAAATGTAAATCATTAGTATCTTTTCAAGGTATGGATTCAGTAAGGTGCTGGAAACCTTCCCTAGAGGTTTGATCCATGCTGACTCATTAGCATCACACAGTTCCTACTACTACTACTACTACTACTACTACACAGTAGAACATGAGACAGATAATCTGTGAAACAATCAGGTTCCTCTGGCTCCTCCTAGAGCTCCTAATGGCATTTACAAGAATCCACCGGGCCTGCACCAAAACAACCAATCAGCTGTTGTAGCCTACAACGATAGCTAACGTGGTAAATTTAGCATAGTGTTCATTTCCACAGCTAATAATAATAATAATAATAATAATAATAATAACTTTTTTCATCCTCTCATTAATCCCAGTTGTACTCCATCAACAAAACTCAACATTTCCTGAAATGTTCGAGCGGAACTCTTGAGTTTCTTTCTTGGTAGCTTCACGTCGTTAGGGTAAAAAGACAGAGTGGAATACCTGACATGACTCTGTTTGTGCATTGATGGAATTAAGGCTGTGGAAATGGACATTATATCAAATTTACCAAGATGACAGGTAAACATGTAGGAGGTTTTAAGTTAGCATTAACTGGGGAACAGGGGAAATTAGAAATAAAGCCCTGGTCCTCTCCGCCCCTGAGGTAAATAAAGGCCCTGGCGACCGTTTGACAATTTCCGGTATATATCTCATCTTTCCCACAAGGAACTGGAACACATGGTCGGAAGGGACACCAGACTTCTTTGCTAAGCCTCCTGTCACTGTGACCTGGTCTGGGAAAGCGTGCGATTGGATGGATGGAACCTGGGAGCTTGTTTAAAATCTGCATGACATCTTTTGGAATGTCTGTTAGGACACTTAGACCCAGGTTGCAATAAACTATCCAACAGTAACTGAGCTCTTGACCCTGTCATTTGCTAGAGATGTTCCCTGTTGACATACACAAGGAGGTATATGCCATTTTGACATTAAATAGTAGGGTAAACACAGGTTAGCAATGATTAAGGTTCCATTTCATTTAATGTAGCAGACCCTATCCAGTGAGCCAACATGCGCAATAGAAGCACCTGTGTTTACCGTACTATTTAGTATCAAAATGGCTGCTGGGAAAAAGGTCTATTTGGCCACTACATTGAATGTACAAAATATTGTGGACAGTCTGTCCCATCAAAACTTTGATCCTGAGTGAGATGTAATAACAAGTACTATCTAGTAAGCAGGATATTTGGTACGGATGTTTATGGTTAGGATGAGGTTTGGTGGCTCCTGATCGTTCCTCTATTGGCGCCATCAGGCCTAAACGTTCCCCCTGTATTTACTTGTATTTGGGGGGTCTACTTTAAGTTCACATGAGTTAATCTTCCTGGTGACATTGGATATAAAAAAATAAAATGCGTGGCCACGGGAACTATCTCGTGGCCACTCTAAACTGATTAGTCTGAAAAACAGAAGAATAAGAAATTATGCAGAAAATCGGGAAAAAATTACGCTTGAAAAACCAACCATAAAATAAATTACTCTGAAAAACAGAAAAAAATTTTTCAGAAAAACAGAAATAACTACTCCGAAAAACAAACCAAAAAATTATATTTCAAGTGAATGCAATATGCTTCCGTAGTTAAGAAAATTTGGTGAATCTGGAGTTGAGTTTTCCTAACAGAATATTAAGAGGAAATAGGAGAAATGTAACGCTGAGAAAGTTGCTGCATGCAGCTGAATGTGTGCTACGCAGTATTTATGTACATCTATCACTCACAAAGCATCACTATTCAGCAAAAAGGGTTATGCCAAACCTCTGTCCATGTAGCACAACCACCAATCAAACAAAACATTCACTCACTTTTCACCATGAATGACACATCAGGCCTTTGTCACTGATGACATGTCACAGCAGGAAAAGCACAGGTCTAAATAATACAATGAAAGATGGCTGAATTCAGTTTCACTGTCTGGTATTGTACATGCTGGCTCGCTGTCACCCTGTCATGGCTTACTGGGACACTTGGAAGCTCAGAGCCATCCTTAATGTCATTAACACCTGTGATTTTCCTTCTACAACAAGGCCAAACTTCTGCTGTGAAAATTGACTTAAATCTGATACTGTCCAGATTGTTTTGTCACAAATAGAATCAGAATTTACAATATTGCCTGTTTGAAGTGTCCTAGTGAGGTGTGAAGTGAGGCCTGCAGGAATAGAACTGGGATCCATCGAGAGACTAAAGTCTGACTGTAGTGATCAACATTGCAGTGATTTTTGAAAAATATAAGCAAAAATGTAAGAAATTAGATACTGCTTGTGGCAAAATGTTTTTTTCCAACATGTACAGTATTTAAGGCTGTGCAGGAATTTCACATGAAGCCAGAAATGTCTAGGAAAGTCCCAAACTCTGACCTTGACCCAGACAACAATCTGTTCACACTTCAGCTCAGAGATTCTACACTTCTACAGGTGTAAAGGAATCATTGTTAGGTAGGAGCGCCCTCTAATGGAGGCAGCCTCAGTGGACTCACATCCTTCTTTAGTTCTCCTGTCTTTGTCCTTTTCACAATTTAAAAAGGTGTACAGAGTGATTCTAGAGGAAGATAGTTGAGTCCCTGCTGTTTGTTTTCATTGAGATGTGGTCTGCTGGTTCACAGGTTCTCTCATGTGCTACAGTCAGGATGTAGTAAAAGTCCCTGTGCCAATATTCCTAAATGTACATATTTTCCACATTATACCCTACTGGTTGGTGCAGTAGCTGGAAAACTTGTATTTATTATTGTGCATGCAGTTCAAGAGCCATTCAGATTCTAGCTATATCTAAGGATAAAACATAATTTACCATTAGGTTCATCGTGTCTTCCTGCATTGCTTCTGAAGCTCTGTAGCTTAAAATATACTTGATGCAAACCCTAATTTACACTGTATACCATGAGAGAAACCAAAGATACACACTTCAATCTGGAAATGTATTTATTTTGCTACTGGAATTATAAAGCAGAATGCAGAGCACAGCAAGCATTCACAACAGAACCTACACTGAAGGGCAATTACATTACACCCCTCCCATTCCCAGTCATGATGCTTAGTCTCATTTCCAGTACTTAACTTAAATTTAGCACCTAACCAAGCTAAAAGGCAAGCAAGCCAATAAAGTTTGTTATCAACGAAGAAAACTAAATTTGAAAAGCCAAAACAGTACGCAATGTGAACATGGCCATGTTTTCCACAAACCAAAGTGTTTTTTTTAATCTATTTAAAGATTATACAAATACTTCAATCATATATACGAAAGAGAAAAGACATAACATCTGACATTTAGGGCTGACAACTTCACTACTAACAAAGATCTATCAACAGTTAAAGTTCTTCTGAATCTTTGTGCAATGCCTCATAGGTCTTTTATTTAAGTGTAGCCTAGCGTTGAGACAGAACAAGACCACAGCATCAAACATCACTTGCATTAAGCACAGTAATTCATATTCAAAAGAAAAACTTTGAAACTTAACTTGGCCAAACTAATGCTTCACAATAATAACAACAACAACAACACAGTCCACCTCTGAATGCAACTATACAGATGAATGAAGGCATTGACATTATCATCGCTTCCCCTCCTGATCCACGATACAGAGACGTCAGGCTCCATGTTTGATCCTTCCTCCGTGACTTATAATCGAACAAAAACACAGTTCAGAGGGGAGCAGCAGCAGCAGAAGCATGAGGCCACTGTCATCAACACTTCTATTTAAGAAGCACATCAGGTAAAAACTGCTTTTATCTAGTAGAGGTCTGAGCCCCAACTTTAAGAAATCTTAATCTACAACTAAAACAATACACAAACTGACATTTTGTTTGTGTAATAGAGTGAGGCTGCAATTACACTGGTACATCTTCAAAAAGGGAAAAAAAAAACAACGGCAACACTGGTCCTTCCCAGTACACAGGAGACAGCGCATACAACATGTTAGTACATTTCTGTATGTAGCTTACTTTAAATTAGTCATAGATAAACTTAGAAACTTTCATAATCTTTCTTGTCCTTTTTGCCTTCACCCTCGAAGCTGTCTGTCCCATCGCTGTTGTCGCGGCGACGCTTGCGGCTGTTGCGGATGTTGAAGCGAGGGTTTATCTGCGGCAGGGGGTCCATACCCAGAACTTTATGAATCTGACGGAATGCCAGCAGCCTCAGAGCAAACTGTAGAGAAAGAAACAGAGAGAAAGCCAAGATACGGTGTCAGGAGACTGAACTAAACCAAGACTTGCAGATTCTTAAAGAGCTCACAAATCCCCAAACATTTTATGTGACGCCTGACATCTCCTGGTAAAAAGCAGATTATGACACAAGGACAGTTAAATAAGATATCTCAAGGCTCTAAGAAACCATTTTCCAGGGCTTTTCCAGGACATTTTCCAGGAGTTTCTCTTGACAAACAGGACAGCACTTACTCCCAAACACTCACACAGTTTACCAGTAATTCTTAAGCATTTTTTAATGATGCATGACAAGTTGAGGGTTTCCAGTTGTTTTCAAAGCACTGCCATTTCTCCTATTTAAACTAACCAGCACCTGATGCAATTTTTCAGTTCATGTTCACACTGCAAACTCTCCATTTTGACTCATGCTCAGACTGGATTGTTTTTTGTTTGGCTGTTTACATTATTTTCTAAATGTAGCCCAAATCTAAATTCAGTGTGAACAGGTCACAGTCCCGAAGTGACCTGCATGACAAATGTAGATCTGGAGTGTTGTAACAGTTGCCTGGATTCTGATATGACTGATAACACTGAGGTCACAGATCTGTATCTGATTTGGACCACATGACAGTGGCCAGAATCCAATTTAAAAAAAGACCAGATCCTGCAGTGTGAATGTAGCCTCACTTCTTCATGCCTGACAGATAATGTATAATACAAGAGCTTGTACTTGGGCACTTGAGGTGATGTCCTCTCTCTGTTGCTCTCCCATGGCTGTTAAGGTGTCCACAGGCTTCTTCTCACAAGGATCTACCAATCCTGGTCCACCTGTTAGAGAAGAATAGAAATAAATTAATAAAAACAGCATTAAATAATGTTTCACTTCATTTTATTTCCAGAATCTAACCAATTTGTGAATTTGGTTGGTTTTAGGTTTTTCAAAATCTGCAAAGTCAATTAACTCTATTTTGCACGATACAGCATGTAATGGAGCCCAGTAAGTAAAACATTAGTCAATGCATAGAAAAATAAAGAAACACTAGCTTACCAGGAAGTAAAATCCCAGACGAAATACATTCAAAGACACGTCTCAGTGCGTCGCCGGGGCTGAGGGGGGCAGAGGCGCTACTGATGGCTTTCTCAACTAGCAGCTCCATGGCCTGAACAGAGGCAACACAAGAGACAGCTTAGATGCCTGACAAACACACACAATCTCTGCTAGATATACAACAGTCAGTTTGTAAAGCTGGAATACGCTATCATTACAGTAATTGTTCAAAAGGTGAACTCGAGGATACTTTGTGCAAAGGGATGGTAGACGGAGATCTTTGCCAACAATACTCTGCCTGTGCCTAGTATTAGCAGCCATTGCTTGGTTTATATCAAAATTAAATATATAAAAGGCTGTCAGTGTGAGGTATGCCAACCATTTAAAAACAAAACACAGGGCTGTGTGACCAGATGACTAAAAACTAATGAAATGTAAAAATCTTTTCATGCGTTTTGCTTGAGCATTTATTCCCGTGTGTCACAGGTCACACTATGCACTCCGAGGGGTTGATGAGGCAGGGATGCAATCCAAAGCAACTGTTTCACTAGCATTTACACACAAACTACTTCAATCTGTTCACCTTGCTTTCTCTTTCCAACACACCCAGACACACACCCACCCACACCCACAGGCTTGCCTCGCCTCTGTTTGTCTCTATGTCTCTA